GCAGGCCTATCACATAAATGAAAGGATTGATTGATGACTTGAAGAACTTAAATTGCAAGGATAAAGAGATGGCCAAACTTAGAAAAGAGATGTCGGTGCAATCCAAACCGGAACACTATTCGGTAATTGGGTCATATCTAGAGCTACAGATCTCAGATTTAGGTCCAATTTATATGGATGGAAAGGTAAGACATAGGCCTACAACTTTCATATGGAGCCCAAGATCTAAAAAGGCCATTATCAAGTCCAAATTGTAGCAACAACAAAGAAGCCCGAATCTGTCTTCCAGCCCGAGCACTGTTCGGTATTTTGGCCATGTGAGGAGTTATTATTCTCACAGTGGCACCATTCCAGCTCCTTCTCAAAAATAATTTGTTACTCTTGAAATTACATATGAATTATTAGGCCACTGAATTTTTAAGGCTATATATATATTTATTTTGGTGCTATTCAACTAATTTTATCTTTATCATGATCATAAATAAATAAATAATTTAGACTAAAATTTATTAATGTAATAGTATTCGCCTTGCGGCAGTAGGACCCAATAACAATAATGCTTTCTGCTAGGTCATCAAATCTAATAATGTGAACCAATAGCCATTTTTTCAGGTAGCTTTTCTATTTAGTGTAAAAAAAAAAAAACAATTTTCTATCTGCACAGTGGACTTCCATTTATTCGCTCATGTCATGCAAATTCCCTACGCTTCTGTGAAATAAAAATTCCCTACTTTTCATTTAGAGACGACTTGCAAGTTTTAGAAAATCCTAACTACTTACAGAAGCAAAGCGATTTAGGTTGAAAGTAACAACTATTTTTTAAAATTTATTTTTAATTATATTAACATATTAAAAAAAATATAAAAACTTAAGAATATTACTTGAATTTAAATAAAAATTTAATAATTTCAAAAGCATAGCCTAACTACAGTTTCAAACTCCTCTTAAAACAATGTGCTAGACATTTGATTCATGTTTCACCGTGAATTAGATATTCTTTTCCTCAATAAAAAAATATATATATATAAATTTTTTCAACAGGTTTCCATGTTTAAAAAAATTCTAATGTAAATAAAATTATATATATATAATTAAATAAATTAAGAACTATGTATGTTAATAAGTGAAAAAATAAACCATAAATGATGTCTAAAAAATAAAAAAAATCAAGAAACAGTTGTAGACTAAGATATTTAATTTCATAAGATGTGACATTTACATAATTGTGTTGACTAAATTTTTTAATTAAAGTAATTTTTTATTCAATTAAACGATAATAAAAATAGACACACATTAAATTAATTGAATAAAATAAAAGAAAAAAATAATATGCAAAGCTACACGTATTATAAATATTTTTTGAAAATACTTTTTTATTTTATAGTAGGACCCAATATTATTAGGTGCTATGAGCAGCAAGACCCAGCACTATTGGGTCTTGCTATATAGAAGAGAAGGAAATCAGCGTTGGGCCCTCCTGCAACCAAGATTCAGCAGTATTGGTCGAGTCTATTTCATTCAAAATTCAAGCATACAATGGACCTAGAGTAAACTGGTCAACTTGCCGGGTCAACCCAAAACTTGGTTGGTCCAAAACATCTGGTAAAGACCTTTTTTTTCTTGTGAATGTGTTTTTTCTCTTACCTAGAGACTTTTTTTTCATATTTTTTAGTTAGTTACTAACTCATTTCAAGATTTATTATATAAATACTAAAAAAATATTTTATTTTTTTAATATGGGATTTGAAACCCATTAATATATATATATTCTATGTTCACCAGAAAAAAATTATATTTTTTCAATGTGAGATAATAAACTTTTTGGTTTAAATACTTCAACTTAGAAGAATAAGATAATATTTTTCTAATATGGAATAAAAAAACCTTTTCAAATAATTTTTTAAACTTAATTGTTTATAATATTTATAGTTTAAATCCACATGGATTGTTTTTTAATTTTTCATATAAAATAATAAAATATCAAATATTTTTTAAAAATTTTTCTAGGTGACCTAGGGCCTTGATCAGGTCTGTTTTGTTCAAAATCCGAGTTTGCAATTAGCCCGAAGTAAACCAGTTGACCCACCAAATCAACCTGAAACACGAGTGACTCGACAAAAACCTAGTAGAGTCCTTTTTTTTTCAAATATATTTTTTCTCGTACTTAGACTCGTTTTTTTTCTTCATATTTTTAGTTGGTTACTAACTCATTTCAAAATTTATTATATAAATACTTGAAGAATGTGTTATTTTTTCAATGCGGAATTTGGAACCTTTTAATATATATACTCTATATTCATAAGAGAAAAGTTTTGTTTCTACAATGTGAGATAAAAAACCTTTTTGATTTAAATATTTCAACTTAGAAAAATAAGATTGTATCTTTATAATATGAGATAAAAAACATTTTGAAATAATCTTTTAAACTTAATTGTTTAGAACATGTATAGCCTACATCCATATAAATTGTTTTTTAATTTTTTTCATATAAAAAATTAAAATCTTAAATATTTTTTTAATTTTTTCAGGTTGACTTGATCAACTCATGTTACACGGGACCCGGTTTCTTAGTCGAGTCAACCCTTAGGCCGGTTTTAATAACTATGATAGCCATAAAAATATAACTTTTAAGAATGTAATCGAAAAGAACTAAAGCTATGTTAATGGTTCAAAAACTAAAAAGTAAAAAAATAGACCAAACATCATTTTTTTTTATCTTGTTCAAGGCCTCTTTTAAAAAAATATTGATTTTTTTGTTATGTGTTTAATTTCCAGAGTGGTTTTTCTGGTACATCTATATTTTATTTTTATCTTTTATATAAATAAACTATGTTTTTAAAAATAAAAAATATTTATTTTTAGATGATATTTTTAATATAAGCAGCCTTACATGTTATTCTTTTTCTTGTTTTATTTTATTCAATCAATTTAATATTTTATTTTTTAAGATTCAATATCTTGATCCATATTTCTCATCGGTTTTTCAAGTTTTGCTTTTAGGTATCCTTAATAATTTTTTAATGCACATAATTCTTAATTCATTTCATTTGATTATATATATATGATATATTTTTTAATTTATTATATTTTTTGAACTACTATCTTAAACAAATTTATATAAATAACTATTTTTAAAAAATAAAAATACTTAACCCGTGATGAATGGCAAGTAAGATAGCCAATAAGTATTAAACCACGTTGCCATTCATATCCTCGCTAATGATAGCAATCTCCGGATTTCAGAGTCTAAAGTTTGACCAGAATGCCTCCTCTTTTAAGGTGCATCCACCGTGGTGTGGTGACCAAAAAATCCCGGGTTGTCAAAAAGCTCTAGCTTTTGGTCGTGGATAGAAGGAAAGGCCCATGAATCTGAGGATCCTGCCCTCAAAAGTACCGAAAGCATGATAATTTCCTTTTTTATTTTATCTTATTTTTGCTTTGGAGGGTGGAAAGCATGATAATTTCGTTAACACTGTGTCCTGCTTGAATTCCATGTCACTCTTCCTGCAATCACGTGAATTAAATCCATTTGAAAGTCGTGCCAAATTGCCTGCCATACAATTAGTTTTTATTAAAGTACTTAGAGCTTGCTTAGTGCGCTTATCCAAGCAGTAAATTAGTTTAGGCGGTGCTATTCTCTCGCAACTTTTAGCACGAACATACACTAAATCCTTTGATAAAAAGATGTCACGAATATATATGCATTCAACTTGAAAATACGAAAAGATTCTTCAAGAATTGGGACACTTAACTTTTAGGTCCATTATTGTTATTATTATTATTATTATTATTATCATAATAGAAGAGGGAATGGATAAATTTCATATCCAGATAACTTGATAATTGAGAATATACCCAAACTTCTTATCGATAGCGAAAGCAAACATGAGAGGAGACGTGAGTTCATTGTTTACAAGGGTTCGCTTCAGAAATTGGCCTGTGTTTTTTCTGTGACCGCCTAGCATATTCACGTCTCAGACCCACATGACATGTCTCTTTCTGGTCCAACGTTCGTGCCCAAGTGGCCCAAGGCCTCTTCTGCAAACAGTGAATTATGCCAATACAATCATTTGATGCCATGGTGGGAGCACTATCAAAGAGCCATTACAAGAAGTTCCTCGACGGCAAGGCATCCCCCCCCCCCCAAAAAAAAAACCCATATAAATGGCCATTGGCCAAAGCATGTCTTTGCGGCTTCGCCTAACCCGCAAGACGCGTATAGGTCTCAGTCTATATATGCTTTAGTTACATCCTGAAATGATGTATCGCCCAATATCTTTTTGGTCATCGCTGATCACGCAGCTTAGGGATTTTTGCAATGTGACCTTCTATCTCACAAAACCAGCCGAACACTAGTACTTTAGTTAATTAGTGGCCTGCAGGTTAGGTTAAGTTTTTTATAATGTAAAAAAAATATCCAATATAATTTAATACAATTTAAGGTAATTCGACTAACCCAGTTGATAATATTAATTTTATCAAAATAATATTGTTTCGGTAATTTTTTTTATTTAAAAAACTCAAAATAACAACTTCTCACAAATTTTTTTAAAAAACAAAACTTAAATTGAAGAGAATTATACAATTTAATCCGTAATTCAGGTATTAGGCTGATCTCTCAAAATGTCATACATATACACTGTGTTGCACATCATACGATATGCCCTTCTTTGGTGAATCTTCACCATGTCAGCCTTGATTCATCTAAGTGACAGAAGAATGATTTTTTTCATTGATGTGCAATGAGGAGTAAAAAATTTACCCTTTTTTTTTATTTTAATTACTGATCCGAGAAGAATTTATGGGTAAAGGAGTGAATGCTGGGAAGAATTTGCAGACCCAAAATAGGAGCCCACCAAATTCAAAATCTCCAATTTTACATGAAAGCCCAAAGATGTTGCACGAACCCAGCCCAGACCAACCAGACTCATAGGCTCAGCCCAAAGGCTACACTGATCCAGTAATTGGTCGGCTTGCAGGGATCCAAGCTTTCAAAACCCAAACCACTCATTTTCTTGTCCTCAAAACCAGAACCCCAAACTAGGGTTTCTCTTCCTTTCCTCCCCCGCTCACACACAAAAGAAAAATAAAAAAGTTATCTCTGTAAACTGATTCTGAAAGGGAATACACCATGGTTTGCCTCCGATAAACTTATCTCTTTATTGATTGATTAAGAAGGATTTAGTTTGATTGATTGATTGATTTATTTTGTGTAGCCGCAAGGAGATTACATAGAGCTGCACAGGAAGAGGCATGGATACCGCCTCGATCATTTCGAGCGTAAGCGCAAGAAGGAGGCGCGTGAAGTCCACAAACACTCTGAGAGAGCCCAGAAGGTGTTCTTTGTTCTTACACTTCTTTTCTTTTCCTTTTTTCACTTTATGGAATTTACTTTTTTTTTTTTTTACTAATGCGAGTGTTATTGGTGTTTTGTGGTTGGATGGGAACAGGCATTGGGTATTAAAGGAAAGATGATCGCGAAGAAAAATTATGCTGAGAAGGCTCTCATGAAGAAAACGTTAGTCTTTTCTTTTATTTCTGCTCCATCTTCTGTATTATGTGCAGACCAATCTGAATTGTTGGTAGTTAAGTTTGATCATACAACACTACTATGTTTGTGCTATGCCAGCTTAGTGGTGTGTGCTTTTTTTAGTGTTGAAATTATTACTAGTTCTTGTTCTTACTGCAAGCAGTGCAAATCAAATTTAAAGTTTTCAGTTCTTTTTCATTTCTCATTGTGATGCTTGTTGAGCAGTTTTTTTTTCCTTCTTAATGTTGATCTAAAGGTGAAAAGCAAAGTACTCAAGCTAATCATGTGGGTATTTATCAGCTTTGCTGTATTTCCCTTTCAGCAGGGGAATTTTATTTTATAGCTGTGTCCTTTTAGAGTTTTTGGCAAAGCTTTTGTGTTGACCTTTGAGCGTACTTCTCTCGCTTTATCCTCTATTTTTCTGTTTCAAAATTTGTTGAAGTTTTGGTTGGAATACATGCAAAAGAAATGAATTGGTGTAGTTATATTTGCTTGTCAAATTGGTTTTTTCCATATATAGCTTGTGGTTATGTAGTTATGCAGCATTGGGATGTCAACATTGTCTAGGTACTTTTTACACATTCTCTTCTTTATGAAGCAAGCAGTTATTAACAGTCTTGCATGTGGATAATTTTGTTTTATGTCAACAGATTGGCTATGCATGAGGAGTCAACATCTAGGCGCAAGGTGGATGATGACGTTCAAGATGGAGCTGTTCCCGCCTATCTTTTGGATCGTGAAAACACTGCACGAGCAAAGGTAAAGTTCTTGATGCTTTTTGGCTGGTATGACTATAAATCATCTCTCTTGTTCCTACATGTTCTGAGATAAAATATGTGACTTGGTGCTTTAAGTAGATTCTTAGCAACAGTATAAAGCAAAAGAGGAAAGAGAAGGCTGGAAAATGGGAGGTCCCTTTACCTAAGGTAAGATGGAGTTCGATTTTTTCCTTAGCACCTCTATAATGTTCTTCTCTGACTTATTCTACATCATGAGTTATCGTTCGCATATGCTGTTGCTCATTACTTTGAATTATTATTAGTATCTCACTGGAAGGCCTTTTCTTTCTTTAGGTGAGGCCTGTTGCAGAGGATGAAATGTTTAAAGTTATTCGATCTGGAAAACGGAAGAGTAAGCATTTCACCAAGTTTTTTTCCTTTCTACACTAATCTCTTCTTATTAGACATTTGCAATTGCACCTGAATGTGGATAACATTCAATTGAACTTATGGTCAGTTAGAAATGTGGGTTAACAAACTTTTGGCTTGTAGATAAACATAATTTGATACCTGAATTTGTATTACATGCAATGAAGGCTGTGGTTTGTTAGGGAAGTGGGGTAATAAACTATCAGTTCACAGATTAGAAATAATTAAGTAAAAGAAATCACACTTTGTAAACATGTTGTTTTCCCATCCATGAGGCTTGTGTTCATGTGCTTATGGTACAAAGATAATGTTTTCACATACATTTGAGGATTAGTTTTTTGTATTATGTAAAAACATCCTATGGATGATAACCTAGAACCACCCTAATGTTGCTGGCTTTCTTTTTGCAGCCAAGCAGTGGAAGAGAATGGTCACAAAGGCCACATTTGTGGGACCAGGTTTTACAAGAAAACCTCCCAAGTATGAGCGTTTTATTCGTCCTACAGGGTTGCGATTTACTAAGGCGCATGTTACACACCCTGAACTCAAGTGCACCTTCAACCTTGAGATCATTGGAGTAAAGAAAAACCCTAATGGTCCTACATACACATCTCTTGGTGTTATCACTAAGGGCACTATCATTGAGGTAAACACACAAACATATTCAAATATCATTTTATTTCTATGAGCCCATGATATAGTTATATTCCTTGTTTGGGGAGTGTGATAGCTTATTTTTCATCATTCTAAATTTCAGGTGAATGTTAGTGAATTAGGTCTTGTCACACCAGCTGGTAAAGTTGTATGGGGTGAGTCTGGCCTGTCAAACCTGGTTTCACTGTAGATATTGTTTAAATTGTAATAACATCTTTCAACTACTTTTGCTAAGTTGGCATTTCTATGGTGGTGATGCAGGGAAGTATGCTCAAGTAACAAATAACCCAGAGAATGATGGCTGTATAAATGCAGTTCTACTTGTTTAGGAGATCAATAAAATAGAAAGATATGATTCAATGTTGGAGTCTTTGCATTCTTCGAAGGAAGCTTCTAACTGTTATGTTTTTGCTAACATCCAGATGCTGTGCTTCGTATTTAATTTAGTTGATCCCTCATTGCCCTTTGGGATATATATCGAGTTGAAGTGTTTGTAATATGGAATATATACCCAATGTGGTATTTCAATTTTGTATCAGATTACTGATTATTGAAGGCTGCTGCTGGGTGGTTTAGTATATTTTGATTGCTTTTAACAAGGCCAAGATTTCGTCTCTCTTGTGGAAAAATAACGTGAAAGACGTCGGTTATCTCTACAGAAAAGGGGTGGATGGGCCAGCGAGGCTCGTGCGTGGTGCATTTGTTGCTCCTAAAACAGGGCCACAGGTGTATCCCACTGTTTGGGTAACGAGCAATGGAAAGTTTGAACCCTTGCTGCATGAATGAACATTGTGCCATCACAGAACTTGCAAAAATACCAAAGTATGAGGAGTTCTGATAATGTTCTCTGTATATAGGATCCATCCCGGCGGAAACAATATTTCCCTTGGGTTGTGTTCGATACAAATCACTTCCATTACCCTTTAGTCGTATTTTTGTTCAACACCAGCTTAGCAGCTTACAACAAAGGATCGAGCAGAATCCCTAAGCTACAGAATGAGAGGATACCAGCTTCGTAGTACTTCCTAAAAATGGAAATCGCAGCATTCGAGTAGCAAGTGCAAGAAAGCTCAAAACATAGTCATATAGGAAGCCTCTTAAAAGAGCAGAGACTATATTACAACAAACAAGTTTCCAGTGATGGCAATAATTCGCGAAATACTGCTTGGATCAGACAAAAGCTGGCTTTTAATCAGCGTTTCCAAATCAGTGCGCTTACCATGGAACAAATTGTCAATGTTACAGCGTTTTCTCATGTAGAGGGATCCTTAAGAGTCCCAAACCATTTAATGACCAGATCAAGAATTCATGAGCTATGGACTCGCTTGGATTGGTGCCACTGAAATTTGGGGTTCAATCACCTGGAGAAGGCCTGTTGCAAGCCTCCTTGTCAAATCCTCTGCTGACACCTTCACTACATCCCTCCTCATGCCAATATCAGCAGCATACCTGCTAGCGCAATAAACCCCAACAGCTGTTGCTGCCATTCCATAAATATTGGTGGTCACAAGACGCAATGGTGTAGATAAAACAGCTGCAAGAGGCCCCCCTATGATGGATGCTGCTTGGCCACTCTGCCCCATTGTTCCTTGATCCACAATAAGCAGGCTAGTTTTGCAATAAATAGCGAAATCTTCACAGTTGTTCTTGAATACATTATAACAACCAAATCCGTTTTCAAGAAGGTATTTTGCTCGATGGACCACAATATCATTTGAGTCTGAGACAGCAAGAGTACAAGTTCCACCTCGCACTTTTGCAATAAAGAGAGCAGGGTTGACATCATACTCAAACCGATACAGGATGCCACCAGCAAGGAAGCAGTTCAGGCATGAGAGGATGACCCCATGACCATCTTGCTGCACAGTGCAGTTGGGACAAGGCACAGTGGAGCGGGCTGGTCCTGAGCTCAACAAGAGGACATCCAGCACAGTCCCTGTTCCTACTTCTTGGCCGCGCCTGGTAAAATGAACTACTTTATCATCCCCAATGTAGATTCCTAAAAGAGAACAAGAAAACTAATTACAAAATCCCTATTGATAGCATGGTATCATTTTAAGAGTATCAGGGCTCATTATGAGGGGAATCAAATTGCATTTACAGAACAAGAAAAAAGTAGTGTGAAGTGGTGGGTGAAAAAAGGCAGATGTAAACAATTTTAGAAACTCGACATCAGCTAGAATTGAGCTCAACTACCCTGCATAATAGCGAAACCTCTCTCAAAAGAAGACATTTCTAGATTTTTACATATGAATATAACATTCAAAAGAGCAAATTCTACACCATCGCATTTACTGAGTTCCTATGCAAGCCATCCATGCAACCGTTCATGATCTCAACCCAACTAACTCAGAAATCAGTCAACACAAAGTTACTCTGCCTGTATCATCCACAAGTCGAGTAGGATGTAAATTAAAAGGAAACAAGAGCAGCGCACCAACTGATGCTGTGACCGCAAGAAAAGATTATATAGCAATCAGAAATGATGACAACTAGCAATTGCAGATAAATACTATTCTGCAGTCCACTATTTTATTTTGCTTTTGGTCATACAATGCAGCCGTCGCACACTACAAAATTCTATATCAATATTGGTTAATCAATAATGTCATGGCATAGAATGTGATGGCATGCAATCATGCTCCCAAAGCTACTTTTGCATGTCATAGCTTTTACACCACTTTGGTGCATTTTAGATAAGAACAAAGAAGAATGTTCAATAAAAACACTATAGTAATTCATCTTAAACATTACCAATTCCAATCATGCTTAAAACCCATTTCCCCATCACTCGTTCTGGTTCTTTAGATACATATCTAAACAATTACCAATCAGCATATGCTGGTGGTATAAAAATCCCAGGAGAACTATACATTGTTTATTTTGCGGCTAAATTTAAAAATGGTTACTGATTATTGGCTGCTAGTTTTGTCACCAATGCATGAAAAAGAAACAGCATTGTCCAATTCATTACAGGATCACCACCAAAACAAGAGAGAAAAAAAAATGACGAGAGCAAAAAGAAAGCTAACCCAATCGCAACACAGCAAACCCCCCACCCCCCTCTATAAAAAAACCTTCATAACAAAAGAAACAAGATGGAGAGGGAGTACCGTGATGGGCGTAGATGTAAGCAGTCCTCCATGAATATATATGATCTCCTGGTTTCAGGCTTTCCTTACTAATCCTGTATTAGTTTTTTTTCAAAACCCAGTATTTGTAGACCAGAAATTTAGTAATATAACATAGGAAAAAGCGAAAAATAATTGATCAAACAAACCAAACCTGTTAGAAAGCAGCCCCATGTCTCTCTCTTCTCTCTTCCTTCTCTGCAACCTTTTTTTTTTTTCTTTCCAAAAGCGTTAAACAAATTGCAAAAACAGAACAATGGTTCTTTCCTGCTGATGTCGACTTTGCCCTCTCTAGTGAAAACCTTCCCTGTTAAGCAAAGAGGTGTGTACGTGGCATTATCTTAACACCTGTCACCATTGCAGGCCGTATGCTGGGCCGGGCTAAGAATTCCATTACAGATCACGAATTACAATTATATATATATAAAAAAACTAAAACAAGGTATTTTCACTCAACACAATTTCACTATTTATAGCGTGACTATGTTTTTATCCTTACCATTAAAAAATTAACTATAGATATGAGAGTCTTTTCAATTTGTTTTTGCGTAATAAAATAATTTAATAATTCTTCAAATAAGAATCTTTAAAAATATCTAAAAGGAGTACTTTTTTCTTTGTATTTTTTAAAATACAATAAAATAATAATTTTTTTTTTAAATAAAAATACATCTATTTTAATTAATACTAAAATAAAAAAAATTGTCAGCATATAATGTACAAGTGTCAACATGTAAGAAAAGCTCATGCATTATGAACAACATGCGACACCCCTTGATGAAAAAAAAATACTCTTTCATTATATTTTTGAAAGTGTTCACACTTTTTTTTTATTGATTAGTGTGAGTTGAAAATTTTTTATTTTATTTTCTCATTCTTTTCTTAAAAGCTAACCTTATTTGTTTTTTATATTTTAATTTTAGTTCTTATTATTCTAATTTTTAATTTTTGTTCTTGATCATTTTGTAAAAATTCTATTTATTTTTAATTTTATCCTTCACTACCAATTTATCATCTAATGATTTTTTGATTTAACCTTTATTCTTTTAATTTTTTATTTTTTGGCTCTTTTTATAAATTTACTAGTTTTTAATTTCATCATCCAATCTAAATTTATAGTATTTTTTTTAATTTGATCTTTGTTTTTTTAATTATTTTTTCTTTTATTAAAGTTATTTTTAATTTGAATTTAACCATTTAATAAAAAAATTATAATTGCCATTTAATTTATTTTCTATTTCAATTTTCATCCACATAATTTTAATTCCTATCTTTTTTTTTAATCCTTTTATGTAATTTATCTTTTTTTATTTTTAAATTTCATCCTTCAACATTTAATTTGTTAGAAATTGAAATTTATGAATTTTCTATGTATGGTACGTTTGATCTAATGACCCGAGTCATAGATTAAAAAGTTAACGATGATTGATATTTTTTTTAATCTTATTTTTTTTTAAATGTCATTGTTTGACATTAGTTTTTTTTATTTGGCTTTGTTGTTTTCTTTGATTTCTTTTCTATAAGGTTATCTTAAACTCATGATCTAGATGTGGGTTTGATGAATTCACCTAAGCTAGCTCGTTTTTTATTATCTAGTTTATATGTCTATCATACTAACTTGGGTTGACTTACGCTAGTTTTTTTGTCTTTTTTTACATATTTTTTTTGTTTCATATTTAATTGTTTGAAAATTGAAGATTATTATTATTTTTTTTGCACTTGGAAAAAAGTTTTTTTCTTAAGTTACCGTGATCTTTTTAAGTTTTCTTTTTTTATCTATTTACTATAGTTGCTTTTTTTTTAATTGTTTGATTAAAACAAGATATGTTTATTTGACTTATCAAAATTATGATCCGAATCATTAAATTTTTTTAAATGCATTTATGATGCCTAAATATCAATTTTTACATAAAAATAGCTCGGATTTACATCATAACACGAGCCCTCATTTAGTAAAAACAAATTCTTCTAGGTATTTTATTGTGAAGCTATGAATTGTGGAGCTCTAATAAATCCTTGTTGATTTTTTTGGAAAAAAAAACTGGTCATCAATTTTTTTTATTGATTGTATCATTTTGTGTAAAGTCTAGCCTAAAATTTTAAACTAGTGCTAAATGAGATAATCCTCAAAAAAAAAAAAAAGATAAAAAAATTTGTGATTGGTGATGAAAATTCTTGACAAACTGGTGTTTAAGTCTCATGTTAAATTATATAAATTTAACTAAAAAGAAAATAATAAATTTAAAGGAAAATACCTTTTTTATGACCGGAGGTGGAAGTCTTTACAAAAGAAATTTAAAATAGAATCTTGGATAAAATAAAAAAGAAAATTATGCATAAAGCATAGTAAGAGCTAATTAATTTCTTACTTGCAGAACGTGCACAGTGCACGTTCTGCATGCAAGAAGACGATCAATCAAAGGGGAACAAGGGGAAGTGTTACCCTTGAGCTTGGGTAGAGGAGCTTA